CGGTGGGGGGGGGGGGGGGGGGGGGGGTGAATAGGGTAATTGCTAATCTAATCCGATTTTGATATTAAATTAAAACTTATAACGCAATATCCTAGCAATATAATATACAATATGATTATGCAAGGATAAACAAGAGATAATAGGCGATAAACAATGAGACAATAGGTGATATAAAAATATGCATAAGATGTAAAGTAGAATAGTATGCCAAATGCCAAACACAAACACAAAATATGATCACGGAGTTCGGTTAACCCCCGACCTACGTCTCCTCTCCTCACTCGAGGAGATTTCCATTATACTCAAAAATCTACACAACGATTTTCAAAGTTCACCGATAACTTTTACAACTCACACGATGTCAATCCAATAAGCTACACTTCTCTAAGTGTTGGACTACTCGTGTTACCTTCCTCAAATGTTTGAAATTACAACATTTCCCTAGGATTTACAACCAACCAACTCTTGAAATTAACCCTGGTCTCTCCCAACCACTCTTCTAAGTATCCTTGTGTATTACAACATGTTTAACAATAAGTGCAAATATGGAATTTGTTCACTAAACAGGTGAGAACGAAATGTAAGCTCACTCAATGAATTACTCCCACAACCCGATTATACTAAATGTGAAATATTTAAGCTCAAGTGGTTGTGTGTGTAAACAATGAGTAAAACAAAATCAAATTCAAATCGATCTAGCATAAATATATAAGAATCAAAATATTAATTAGCTAGAGAAAGAGTTTAGAAAACTTCTCCAAAATAAAGAGAAAGATTTGAGGATGAACGCCTCAAAAATGAAATTTGAGATCCTTCTCTTTGTGAAACTCTTTTCACATAAACAAACACATTTTTTCTTCTCTCAAAAACTCTTAAACAAACTTACAAAACTAACACACTTTTTCTTCTCTCAAAACCCTTAAACAAACTTGCAAAACTCTGTTCTATATTTTCATAGTGAAACAAATAAGTTTTTAGGGCTATTTATAGCCTCTCAACCAAAACAAATCAACTCAGCCAAAGACTAGCTGTTACTGGAAAAAGAACCGTTGATCGGTCGACTGGTCAACGAATCAGTCGACTTTCCAGAACGGTTGCTATTTTGCAGTGTGTTAATTATCATTATCGGTCAACTGGTTGACAATCGATCGACTACTAGATGGACGGTCAACTAATAATTATGGCTGGTTGACTGATAAACTAACATTTCAGATACTTGAATGCTGAAAAACTAATTTTCCAAATTCGTTTTAAAATAGTAAAACAACTTCAAAAATTATAAAACATGGGAAAATGTTTACATATATGAAAATAAGTATGTTAGAAAAGGAATTTCTAAAATAGCACTTTCCAAATGTGAAAACTCACTATTTTGCAAAAAACGGTCAAAAATACAAGTTTGTTAAACACTTGATTTTGATGAAACTTTTCAAACAAGTTTTGAGATATTTTTAAATGGATTAATAGACTTTAGAAAAGATGTAAAATAGTATCATTAAGTCAATAATCCAAAAACACTATACATTCCCAAATAGATATATAATACGATAAACCGAAATAACGTGTACGTGTATGGTTTGAGCTTTAAGTGTAAACAAATACAGTAAAAACCTAAAACATTATACCAAGCTAAGTAAGAAATCTTCGTGAAGCTCGATCTTGGTAGCAGGGATGAAGTGCAATAG